GGTCTGGGGGAGTTTCAGCCCCCACCCCTTCTTCCCCTCTCTCTCTCTCTGTGTGTGTGTCTCCCCGCAGAGAATTTCAGGCTCTGCAAGTGCTCCGACACTGCAGCAGCCGCGTTCTGCTTTGAAACGTTTCTTTAGTTTGTTATTGCTACGAGCTCTCATGCTAACGCGAGAGTTCACTCCTCCTGACACTAAGAAAACAGGAGGAGAGGAGTCAGCTGAGCTCCTGTGTAGCGGAGCACAGAGAGGGAGAGAGAGGAAGTAAACAAACAAGCAGGAAAATGAAACTTATCGTCCTCTTTTTTTTTTAACCGAACTCAAAATAACTTATCGTGCAATTAATTGATTTATTGACTATCGTGACAGGCCTAATCACAATTCTTTGATTTCAGATAAATAAACTCTTCCACAGGTTACCATGAAACAACCCGTTCATTTTCCACATTAGTAAATGCCATGTGGGAGAAATTTTATAGATGATACTCAAGTCCGGTTCTCCTGAAGGCAGCACAGAGCTGCTTAACATGAAGCCGACAGAAACCGATGAGAAGAGAAACATGATACACTTGTAGTGCCATGCATGTTTTAATGTTATAGACCCCCTTTTTTCACAAGCAGTTCAAAGTTTAAACTGCTGTTGTTGTGAATCTTTGGTGAAAATTTTACCTTCAAGCAAACACATTAAACACATTACAGCGTCTCCTTTTTGTAAATATTGCTGCCAACGCCCCCTGGCACCGTCACAGCGCCCCCTAGGGGGCGGGACCACCCCGTTGAGAAACACTAGAGTAGATGATGAATAGAAGTGGGCTCAGTACACAGTCCTGGGGGGAGCTATTGCTAATAGTCAGGATGGAGGAGCAGTGTGCACTAATCCTTACAGACTGAGGATGATTTGTAAAGAAGTCCTTAATCCAGGCAGGAGTGATGGGAGGGAAGTCTAGGGCAGGCAGTTGTCCATCCGGGTGTAACAAAGTCAACAAAGAGCATCTTGATGTAGGACTCAGAGAGTTCTAAGTAGATCAGAGCGGTATGAAAGGCAGTGGAGATAGCATCAGCAGTGGATCTGTTATCTTTGWATGCCTATTGATGATGATCAGAAGAAGGAGAAGGTAGTCCTTGATGTCCTATGTCACCAGTCTTTCAAAATATTTTGCAACCAGTGGTGTAAGAGCTATAGGCCCGTAGTCGTTGAGGCAGTTGATAGGACAAGGACTATACACAGTTACCGACTTAAGGCATAGTGGTACAGAGGCTTGTGCCAGGGAGAGATTAAAACTTTTTGTAAAGGCTTAAAGAGGACCTTATATGCAAAATTGACTTTTTTCAGCCTTTTTTTACTTACATTTGGGTCTGCACTGCTTTTGAAAACAGTCCAAGCACCATGTTTTGGCAATATTTATTTAACAAAGCCAGAAATACGTGGTCCAAGAATGAAGGTACTCCATGATCAGCTGAGTTTTATTGCAACAACAGGAAACACAGAGAACCTGGCCTGTCTCTGTGCCTCTGCTTCTCTCTGTCACTGTCTCTCCACACTGCTGTTGAACACTGTTGAACCCTGTGTCTTGAGAGGCCTCATTTATACTGTATATTAACAAACACCATTCTGTCATCTTGGCAAGATTTGATACAAGGTCAATGGAAAACACAAAGATAAACACAAGTGATATCTAAGAATGATTATTGTTGTTAGCAACAGGCTGTGTCCAAAACGACAGGCCGGGTCCTCCGGAGGACCCAGACTCCCCGGTCGCGGCGGGCCGGGTCCTTGGTAGACCGGGAAGACCAGAAAAAAAGAGGCTGTGAATTTGGACATCTAGCCTCCCGTCTTTACCCTGGTGTACATCATGTCACCTAGCAACTGTGACGATGCTAAACAAGCAAAC